AGACCCGAAGGTCGCCTAGATTACACTAGAACAACACTCCCCGACGGGAGAACACACACTCCCATACGGGAGAACAGATACTCCCCTACGAAAGAATACACACTCCTCTACGGGAGAAACCAACTACAACAAACTAAACTAAAAAACCACTAACTAGACACCAACAAAACATAAAAGCAGCTAGAACCTAAAGAAAGCTACAACACCCTTCCCCAGCAGACAGAACCACACCAAGTCAACTGCGGCAATGCCAGAGGACGACAATCCAAACGAATCGAGCCACGACTTTAGGAGCTGATACAGAAAACCACACTTGTCTAACTGGATCCCACACCTAAAGCCCACCCGAATCCGAATGTCACCCTACACCCACACCCGGAGAACCACCCACATCCTACCCCGGCAGAAGCCATTGACTTAGGCCCAGAGCAACAAAGCCCTGACCGCAGCCTGGCCACGCCGACCATCCCCCCCGAATAGCCCCAAGACGGACGGGATGCGTGAAAGAAAAGGTTGACCTCTCCACCCAGTCCCCTTCAAGATAGAACCGGAGCCACGACCCATTCCCTAAGAAAACGCCAGAGGTACTTCTCATCCAAGTCGGCAGAAACACGGCCACCCGCTTCTCCCGTCGTAGCAACTTGAATCGCGGCAAGATCTAGTCCGGGAACGAGCACCGCCTCCACCCGCTGAAACCGCTCCACCTCTTAACGATCCAAAGGGACTCGAGCCGCGAGGTAAAATGAGTCTTACTGATGACTGGTGTCATTTTAAATAAATTAAAACGTGTTTATAAGAAAATAGCATAAAATCTTTTGTTAACTATAAATTAAATAGCATCGTGTCATAGATATTAGTTTTGATAAATAATTCAAAAGTCTAATTATAAGTCAATTTTGTTGTGGAGCCATTGAATGAGACGATTTATGGAGTTAATCTCAATTAGTGTATTTACATATTCACAAATATATATTGGAACGTGTCCTACCCGCCTCCATAATGTTTTGGGTTTGATCAAATAAATTGATATGTCATCTAAGAAATAGGCACATTATGAAATTATATATATTCTCTAATGCAAGAGCAATTAGGTTGAATCCTGGTGATGTGACAACAAGAAAAAGAGAATGAATATGCCCTTTCTATTTTAGACCCAAGTAGATACTGAAGTCTTTTTGCATTGGAGTAAAATTGTTAATTTTACATAGTTTTATCCATGTCATTCAAGACTTGGATTTATTTACATGTCAAATAGACAAAACTAGATCCAATGAATTGTAGATGCTAAAGAACCAAGAAATACAAAGATGAAATAAAAGCGTCTAGTTGCTAATGGTGTGATTGTTTATGAATCCAACTAGAAAAAAAAAAAAAAAAAAAATCAAAATTCAAATTTATCTTAACTTTAACATAATCCACCATCTTCAATATTACCAATATAATTAAATAATATCAACCAATCATTCTTACACGTCACATCAACTTTAATTCACTATTCATCCACTCATATAATTTTAAGTACACTTCCAATCATTTTTTCATATTTTAAATTAAATCAACTTTAATTATTTTATTTTATATATTATTTTAATATATTCACTAACAACTAACCATACCCATTTTTTTAAAATTAACTATAACTAAAAACAAATCAAATAAAAACTAGTTGAATAAAAGACAATCACTCCTAAAAATGTTATGTAAATTGCCTCAAGTCATAAGTAATTTAGCTTTAAACGTTGCTAATAAAGTTAATAAATCCAAAACATTTAGAGGGATTGTATATCAATCCAACTAAAAAAAATAAAAACCAATTAAAATTGAAATTTAACTCAATCTCACTATCTCTAATATTATAGATATAATTAAATAATATCAACCAATTATTCTTACACATTACATCAACTGTAATTTACTATTCATCCACACCCATAATTTTAACTAATCATCACATATAAAAACTTAGTTAGATTCACGAAGAATCGCCCCTTAGGGCATCCACATCCCTTAACATTCATTCCATCATAATTTACACTCTCTTTCATCCACATCATCTTTTCACTAAATATCTTTTCATTTAAACACACACCACATTCCTACATATTCATTTAAACACATATATGGGACCATTATTCATTCATTCAATATAAATTTAAATATTATATTCTTAAATATTGAATAAATAATTAATTTAAATAAAAAACAAAAAAGAAAAAAGAGAAAACCACGTTAAATATGTTGAACGCACAAGTGGGACCTCCCTTTAAATGAACGCAGCACATCCATGTTAACGCCACACAGAAGCGTTTAAACGCACAAATTTAATTGTGCAATGCGGATGCTCTTACAATTTACATAAAAGTCCCAATCACATGAGCCACACACCAAGGGACCTACACATATCAGCCATCGATACAACTGTAAGCCATATTTCAGGATTTTCTTTGGAGTGATCGCAGCCGTTAGATCCAAATCGACGGCGAGAAATGCAGGTATCCACTAAGGGTAATCCGTATAGACGAGACAGACGACGCACTCATTTTTATCTGTCGTCTTTCCCCCCTTTCTCTTCTTCAACGTCGCCGTTGCTCCTCCGAACGTCGCCGTACCGGAAAGCATAAACCCTACAAATTCGAATTGTCCCGAATCGACCACTCACCCTGCCGTCTTTATTAATTGAAAGGTAATTTCTATCAAATTACTCGTACTCAGCGTATGTAATCAGAAAATTTCGACATAATCATGCATCAATGAGCCGTCTTGTCTGTCTCTCTTTGACGTGCCGGAGAACTTGTTTTATTGCATGAACATTCTGAGTGGCTGTTTGGAAAGGAAGAATTTTGTTGTGTCAATTTTTAGAGTTTTACAACAGATACGATAATGGTTGTGGGGTCCCTCGGAGTCTCATATTTATGTCGTGCTTATGAACAGTGGTTGCATTAGTGTAGTTCTGGGCTTCACCTCATAATCATTATGTGTATTAGCTTCCGAGAGTTGAAAAATGGATGCAGATTCAGGATCTGTAGAAAAAAAGATGTAGAGAGAATGCAGAATGCTCTTAGTGTCCTCAAGGTGATTAAACTTTGCAATGTCGGATTATAGTGGTCTTCTTATGGACATTCAATAGATTGGAGTTGAAGACTGGAACACGGGACATCGTGATCACTGGGGGTATCACAATTTACAGTGCCTATGATTCTAACATAGGTTGGAGAAATGGATGCTTCTTCCAGAAACTCTACAAATCTAGGTGACAGCGGGATATTTCCCGAGCCACATGTTGGAATGGAATTTGATTCAGAAAAGGCAGCCAAGATGTTTTATGAAGATTATGCCAGACACTTGGGCTTCGCCCCTCAAGTCCATCATGAACGGTCAAAGTCCAATGTCAAGGAAATGTGCCGTGAGTTTTTGTGTTCCGTGGACAGGTTTAAAAAGGGAGCCTGTGTGGCAATGCTCAGAATCGAGCTGAGTAGCAAAAACAAATGGACCGTGACAAAATTCGTGAAGGAGCACAGTCACCCAACCCTAAACCATAATAAGCTGCATTGCATCCAGCTGAAGCGGCATTTTGCGACCATGGGCGTAGACGTGGTTCCAACTGGCGTTATGTATGTATCTGTGGATGGAAATGATTTTTCAGCAGGATCAAATAATTTAGAATTTTCCTGCCAGAGAATATTGGGCAGGGATGCCCAGAATGTTCTCGATTATTTCAAAAAGATGCAGGCTGAGAATCCAGGATTTTACTACGCCATACATCTCGATGATGAGAACCACATGACGAATGCATTCTGGGCGGATGCCAGATCGAGGGCATCTTACAGTCATTTTGGGGATGCTGTTATTTTGGACACATCTTACAGGGCAAACCAATACAAGGTCCCGTTTGCTCCATTCACTGGTGTTAATCACCATGGCCAGATAATTTTGTTCGGCTGTGCTTTGGTTTTTGATGAATCTGAAGCTGCATTTATTTGGCTATTTAAGACGTTTCTTGCCGCCATGAACAACCGGGAGCCCGTCTCCTTTACTACAGATGATGACGGAGCCATACGGGATGCGGCGTCCCAGGTGTTTCCGCGGGCCCGCCATTGTATCAACAAATGGCACGTTCTCAGAGAAGGCCAGCAAAGAATGGCCCGTGTATGCTTCACTCATCCTAAATTTCAGGTAGATCTCTATAATTGCATCAACAACACCGAGAAGGTTGAGGAATTCGAGTGGTGTTGGCAGTCGATTGTTGAAAAGTATGACCTAAAGAAAAATGACTGGCTTCGGTCCATATTCAGTAAACGTAAGCGTTGGGCACCCGTCTACTTTCGAGACTCTTTCTTTGCTACCTTGCCGGGTGCGGGACCTGATCGCTCATTTTTCAACGGCTATGTAAATAGTCAAACAACACTGCCTATGTTCTTTAGACAGTATGAACGTGCTTTGGAAAGCTCGTTCGAGAGGGAAGTTGAAGCCGATTTCGACACGATGTGTACAACCTCACTGTTGAGGACGCCTTCGCCTATGGAAAAACAGGCAGCTGACTTGTACACGAAAAGGGTATTCTCGAGATTTCAAGAGGAGCTGGTTGAGACATTCGTGTACACCGCGAATAGAGTGGACGGAGATGGGGATAACTGTACATACAGGGTGGCAAAATTCGAGGACGACCGAAAATCCTATTTCGTGTCACTGAATATTGCGGAAATGAAAGCAAATTGTACCTGTATGATGTTTGAGTATTCGGGCATATTATGTAGACATGTTCTTACAGTTTTTACTGTGACTAACGTACTCACCTTGCCATCCCATTACATCTTAAACCGGTGGACTAGAAATGCCAAAAGCGAAGGTCAGCTTGAACCACAGGGTCATGGGACTCTTACGGAAAGGTATAATAATTTATGCAAAGAAGCAATTAGATTTGCGATGGAAGGTGCTGTGACACAAGAGACGTATAATGTGGCACTTGCTAGTGTTCGAGAGGGAATAAAGAAAGTTGGTGGTGTTAAAAAGAGTGTGACTAATGTTGTGCCTTCTGGTCCGCTGGTTGGTGGAGTCGGTTGTGATGACAAAGGGACAAATACAGGAAATCCAGAAACAACCCCTTTGCTATGGCCAAGGCAAGATGAGATTACACCGCGCTTTAATCTTAATGATGCTGGGATTTTCCGTTCTGTTTCTGATGCGGCTGCCATATGTGTGGCCCCACATTCTCTTAACTGCAATGCGGATCGAGCTGATAAAGTGGTATGCATAATGTTTTCTAGATTTCTTCAGGACTTGGAGAATTTCCATGCATGAAGATGTTAATCTCTCGTTTCACTTTTTCTTGTTTGCAGCCAGTCCTTCCTTGTCTTAAGTCGATGACTTGGATTATGGAGAATAAGGACTCGACTCCAGCTAATAAGATAGCTGTTATTAACCTTAAGGTATGTGCGTCTTATACAATTTTGATGATTTTATTTTATTATTTTTTTTTTTATTTTTTTTTTCAAGCGTATTAGTAAACCAGTGTTCTTTTGTCTATTTTACTTTCCTTATATTTCTTCTCCGTCTTTCTTTTGCTGGTGGTACTTTGTTAGTTGTCGTCTAGATATCATATTAATTTTCGCAACATTATATTTTCTTTCCCATGTTTTCATACTAACACAATGCACACAGAAATTTGGATTTAGTTGGAAGTGGTTCTTGTTCTAGATTTACCTTTTCTTTTACTGGTTATGCAGTTACAAGATTACAGCAAGAATCCTCCAGTAGAATCAGAGGTAAAATTTTCACTCTCGAGGGCCACACTGGAGCCCATGCTGAGGTCTATGGCATACATCACTGATCAGCTCACGGCACCTGCTAGTAACGTCGCAATCATCAACTTGAAGGTTTGTGGTTTCATCTATTTAGCAATCAATTTCGATTAGATACCTGTATCTTCATGTTAGAATTGCATACTCTTGTTGGAGCCACTCTTCTTTTCATCGCCATGGCAAAACTTTTCGTATAATGATTGGTCCTTAATGATCACCAATCTGGAGAAATCTAGAACTGCAAAGGAGTGTGATTTTTTACTTTATCTGCTTTTATAGTGGATTGCAATATTATTTTTAACTAAACTGTATTTCCACATAATTAGCTTTTGTCTTCTAGCTGGTTAATTTCTTAGAAAAATGTGTGGATCCTTTACTCACGCTGATGAGGTATTGCCATTAGATGAAAACGTGTTAAAATACATTATTAAACAGCCAAATAAATAAGTGAAAAAAAAAAAGAGTAAAAAAGTAAAGGGGA